GGACACTGAGTGAAAAAACCAAAAAAAAAAAAAAAAAAAAAAAAAAAAAAAAGAGGAGTCTCCCCCCCCCCACCAGGTGACTATGCAGTGACGATGCAAACCTGGAAGAGAATCCGCAGGCACCATCTTAGACTTGTCCCAGAGTTGGGAGGAATAAATGTTTGTTTTTGAGTCTCTTGCTCTATACCTTACATTTTGATGGCACCACTCAGGCTGATGAAGATGAACACAGCGCCATGGTACAGGCTATCCAATGCACGTTTGCTGTTGCAATCAATGCTATTTTTAAGGTGTCACTAAGAAGTGATAGGACAGGTGATTTTCTGTAACTTGGAGGGAAGGGTTGGCCGTGGCAGGAGGGGAGGAGAGGTGATGAGCACAGGACTGGGGCTGGGCAGGGGCAGAGGGTACAGCAGGCATTCGTACCTATGCTGCAGCTTTCGGAAAGATGGGACCGCCGAGCCTCCAGGTCTCTGCAGGAGAAGGTGAGAGGGCAGAACGTGGCTGACCTCACAGTCCAGCCACGCTCCCCTCAGACAGCCTCACTCCATCCCATCCACCCACCCAGCACTGGCTTCATCTCCCAAAGCAAACAGGGCCGGCAGTGTATAACCCAGGACTCCAGAGGGCAAGGGGAAAAGGGCAGCAGACTCTTCCCCGGGATAGCACCAGGGAATATTTTTGTGATTGTGTCCTGGGAAGGAACACGCACCCTGCAGAAAGGCTGAGACTCAAGCGTTCTCTCAGAAACAAGGGAGGCGGGGGTTCCCTGCATGTTCATCCCTCCCCAAACTATGTAGTCCGAGATTAGGGGCCCTCCCTGGCCTCTGTCTTGTACTCACAGTGTGGGGATCTGAGGCAGGCTGTTCCTCTTCTCACCATCTGGGGGGAAAGTGGAGGAATTGGGGGGGGGGTTGGAACCAGCAACACAGGGGCTCCAGTGGATGGGGACAGAATACTGCTTCTAAGCTTCTCCCTCAGCACCATGGTGGAAACTACTCAGGTCTTGGGCTGTAACTGGAATCCTCCTTAAAGTTTCCTCCTGGCAGTATCACATGCCCCGGCCCACCGAGTTTCCTGACTGGACCCCAAAGTAAGGTCACACACAGGAGAGACCAGTCTTGTGCTAGTAAAGGCTCTGATATGCCAGGGGCTGCAAACACAGCCCCTCTAGAAGCTGGCTTCCATGTATCCCTGACTAGCAGGGCTAGGGGTGAGCCAGCAGGAACCCAGGCCTGCAGCTGACCATCTAGAATGGACCCAACACCTCCTCACACTTCTGAAACTCCTTACACATCTAAAACCTTTGCCTTCTCTTAGGGGTCAATGACTGAGCTTCCCTCTGCCATCCTGCTCTGGGCCACACTGCCTCCAAGGGGAACCTACCTTTTTTGGGATGCATGATGAGAGAGCCTTTATGTTCTCCCTGGAGCCTACAGTAGCCATCAATGAGGTCTGCCATGTTCTCAGCCTCTGCCAGGGACGAGGTTTTGATGGACAAGGACTGCAGAGAAGGGGCCAGCCAAGGTGAGGAGGCAGAGCCTCGGCTAGGCTAGAGTCTACCCCACAGGGAGGAAGAAGAGGCTGCAGGATCCATGGATTCTATGGGAATCCACCCACACTTTTCTGGGTGTGCTGCTCATATTTTTAGAGATAGCCACTAGGGGGCACACTGGCCCATCCAGCCAGCCGGCCATCCCACTGGCTACCCAGAGCTCTTTATCGCAAAGCCAGGTCTGGGTCTAGCTTATTCAGCTCTCTGAGCTGACAGCGCAATGCCTCGTCGCTTACCAGTGCTCAGCATGTACAGGCAGCCACAGAAGTGGGAAGAGGGTGAGAGGAGAGAGACAAACACGCAGCAGTCCAAGGTCTCTCCCATATCTCCAACCAGACAAAGCCCCCGTGCCCTCAGGTCTTGATTTCTGAGTCGCTGCTGACTGCTGAATGTTAGACTTCTGATACGAACCTGATTTTCAGTTACCTTCACCTGCCCTAAAACTTTCCCTACGTGTTTCCTGGCAGGCAAATGATACTTTTGTTTCCCAAATCTCCTTAGAACTATTACCCTAGAGCCTTGCTTGGACACTGGGTACAGTTTTTTTTTTTCTTTAAAAAAATTTAAATCACATTTTAATTTATTTATTTTGGGGAGGAAGAGGGGGTGAATTGCTTGTCACAGCATGCATATGGAGGTCAGAGGACAATTTGTAGGAGTCAGTTCTCTCCTTCCATCACATGAGTCCCAGGAATTGAACTCAGGTCATCAGGGTTGGAAGCACATGCTTTTATCCACTGAGCTATCTTGCCATCCCCAGCACAGTTTTCTTAACAAGATCCTTCACACAGAGAAACCCTAGCCCCATAACCTGCCTTGGACAGGTTGACCTGAATAAGTCCCAACTTCAGGGACACCCACACAGAGCTCCCAGATCCCCAAGAGATGCTCACCTGGGGGGCACCTTCGATGCCCAGCTGCAGGACCGCCTGGCCCTCCTCCAGTGGGAGGCACCTGATAGACTTGATCTGCTTGAACTCAGCCAGACAGGTGGGCTGTGGAAGAGTTAGGGAGACCTGAAGACCACCCCACCCCAGGATAGGGGTGAGGATGAGGGAAAAGGAATCTCTTTTGAGGGTAGACAGAGTAAAGCTAGAAAGACCATCTTGGAAGCTCAAGACCCTCCCACTGCAGAAGAAAGAAAACTAGGCTGCAGAGAAAGTCAAGATTTGCTCAAGGTCATATGTCAAGGTCATATGCCAAAATGATGGTACAGCCAGAACTGGACCCAGGTGATCAGACTTTGAGGGGATCGCTGACTCATTTTTGCCAGTGAAAGAGAAAATCTTCTCTCCGAGCCACAAGAACAACAACAGCATTCTTCCCTCATCCCTCAACCCACACCGTGCAGCAGCATCATGGCAAATAATGAACTGTCTAACCCATACTTCTGTCCCCAGATCTTCTCAACAAAACACACTGAGGGCCTTGGCTCACAGAGACTCTGCTCTGAGCAATCAGGAGAATGAGAGCTGATGGGAGACAGCACAGTGGGGAGAGAAAGGGGAAGACCTCTGAGCTAGAGCTGAGCGAGGCTCAACGTAGGGCTCTCTCTTCAGCTCTCTACCTTTGTCTCTTGACTTGTCAGCTGGCGGATGCCCTTGGGGCCAATGACCAGGTCCACAGTAATGTTCCACCCTTGCTGGAATAAACGGAGAGAGTGGACTGCTTCTTCATGCTGGCCACCTCTATTTAGAAACTTTAAGACATCTCATTAAGCTAGACACAGACCAGTCTCCAGCCCGCCCACCTCACCCCAGACAACTCACCTCTGTCCATCACTCCCTGCATCACCCACCTCCCAGATCCTGAGACAGCATTCAACTTCCTCCTTCCTCTCTATTTCCATCTGGTTGACCCCCTCCCACCCGGGAATCCCTTGAGAGAGGACTGTAGGGCAGGCAGGGAGAGGGTACAAGAGCAGGCCTTACAATGAGTTCACAGCGATAGGTCTCCTGGTCGATGTTGGCAAAGCCTGCGAGAGTGTTGAAGAACTTCATGACGCACTCTTCCTCCCGGAGCGAGGCATACTGCTGGAAGGTCTGCTGAATCATCTTCCTGAATTGCTTGGGCTGAGAAGAGGTTGGGTAGAGCCAAGCCCTGTCCCCCTGAGCTCAGGTTCCTATATCAGGTCTCGCAGAAAGGCTATCTACTGTTGCAGTATGGTACCAGGGTACCTGCCATAAGGACCTCTAGATTTGTTCCCTATAGCTCACCCTATCTCCAGGGAAGCTCACCCTACCTGAGGTGGGAGAGGTGGCATCCCAGGGCTCAGGTCATGATGTGAACCAGCCTCAAAGGCCGGCTTGAACCAGGCACATCTTATCCTGATTCCAAGCCCCAGAAGGGCCCACCATGTACATTAGCTGTCCTATGACAATAGATGCATGGCCCAAAGCATGCATCCCCCCCCTCCCCCGGCTTCTCTGAGGCTCCCAAGGCCAATCCCTCTAACTCTAGTAGTGAGAAACAGCACCAAGCAGGGCTTACTGGGCTCCACACCATCTGGTTTCCTCACCTTTAAGTTCTCCTGCATCTGCTTTGGGAAAAACAGGTCCAGACCCACTTCCTTCCTGAAAGAAGGAAACAGAGGCAGCAGCTGGTACCCACCTCTTTCCCGTCCTGGATGTCTGACCAACCAGGAGGAGGTCAGAGGGCTTGGGGACTGGGAAGATGGCCCTGAGGGCTCTGGGCTGGGCATGATGGAAGACTGGTAAGAAGGAAAAGGAGGCACTGGAGAAGGAGGGGAGGAGGAGGCAGTGCCTGACTCGGAACTTACTCCAGGAGCTCAAAGTTGGACTTTTTGTCAAGTGCATTGTGAGGCATGTCCTTGAAGAATCTCCTGTAGAGAGAGGGAGACAATTCATGGAGGGGTGGCTGACAGTGGAGGGTGAAACCCTTCCAGTGGGGCCCTGATGTCCGTGTGTTGGCCTACAAGCCCTCTTCCCCTACAGATGCAGGGATCATGGAGGAGGCAGGCAAATTAGAAAAGTGATAAAACGTGATATTTATGAAACGGATGAAAAGAAACCCCACACACTTCATTCCTATGAGACACCAGTCTTGTGCTTTGGGACTTCGGGCCTTGGATTGTACAGTTATCTAACAGTGAGAAGATAGCAGCTCTGTCACCATCTCTAAATACAAACAACCCTCGGGCCAGCAAGATGGCTCAGGGGGTAAGGGTACCTGCCTCCAAAAGCCTGATAATCTGAGCTTGATTCCAGGGTCCACCTGGCAGAAGATGAGAACCTACTCCCACAAGTTGTCCTCTGACCTCCACAGAACATGACACGTGCATGACACACACACGTACACACACATACACGTGCACACACACACACATTGTTTGAAAACAAACAACCCAGGGCAGCCAACACTCACCCTCTCTTGTCCACTGATCTCCACACAGATCATGACACGTGTGTATGTATACATGCACACACACGCACATATAAACACACGTGCAAACATGTGCACACACATGCACACATGCACACACACACACACACACTGTTTAACAACAAACAACCCAAGGCAGTCAACACTCACCCTCTCTCTCAGCCCAGGAACACCACCTCCCCATGGGGAGGGTACTCACTTTATAATTTCTGATTTACTTATTTGCCATTTTCTCAATTCTGTATGTGCACATGTTTGTATTTCCTGATAAATAATTAACTGTAGTACATATAAAACTTCAGAATTAATGAAAGAAAAGGAAAATAATTCCTAATCCTACTGCCAGATGTAAAATTAATTAGTATTTTATTCATTTATTCATATTATTAAATTTAATTCTTCCAAAAATATGTTTTGATGAAGATTCTTACATACTGTAAGATGTCACATGACATTTGGTCAACAATGGGCCACATATTCATGATGGTCCTGTAAGATGACAGCACCCAGTATGTTACAGCCATCCGAGCTTGTGTGAGCACTCTGTGATGTTCACACAACAAGCTCACCTAATGATGCCTTTCTCAGAACGTGTTTCCATCAAGTCATGTGTCTATTTTATAATAATATATGCTATATATTACGACTATATACAATAACATGATTACATTATACACAATGACAGTACATGGTATAATATAAATTATAATAATAATTTGTTTGTGGCTGAGATGGAATAGTCAATGTCCCCAGGTGCGGCAGCCGCCCTTCCCTGTCAGGACCACTGTGTCTGGTAATTTTATCAGCTAGTGTACACATTGTCCTATTCTTGATCTTATAATAGCCATCAGGGTCCTTTTAACTCAGATGCCCTCAAATGCCTGGAAACAGTTCTATATTAACACTGCCAGCAGAGAGAGGCAGGTACCTTATGATGTCAAAGCCATGAACTCAGCTGTGCTTAGAAAACAGGAAGTTTGGGGCTAGAGAGATGGCTCAGCAGTTAAAAGCATTGGCTGTTTTTTCAGAGGACCCAGCCGTCTGTAACTCTAGTTCCAGGGGATCTGACACCCTCTTCTGGCCTCCATGGGCATGGTATGGCACAGGTACACTTACATACATGCAGGTAAAAGAGTCATACACATAAAATAAAAATATCAAAAAATTTAAAATATATAGTTATCTCTTAATGAATAATAATCTTAACTTTAGAAAAACAGATGCTCTGGAAAAATCTGAATGGAGCTGCCCTATTAATGAGGCCATCTCTTGTTAAGCGAATTTCAGGTAATTTTAGGAAGATTTTTTTCTTCCCCTCCCCTGCATGTTCCCAACATTCTGTATTGAACTAATACAGAGTTCAATGATCTGTTTTGCATGAAAAAAATTAAAGCAGCCTGTGTCACAAGTCCAATGGTAGTGTGAACCTTCTGGGGCCATTGCTATGAGGAGGCCCACACCACTGCTGTGCATTTACCTCACAGACCATCCTCCTCATGTTACAAATTTGACAAGAAGGGGATCTCTCTGATTCCCTGGAATTATGGAGACTGAGTTTAATTCCTTTCTTAGATGTCATATGTATGAAGGGATTTTCTTATCATGACCTTCCCTGAACATTTATCATTCCCCTTCTTCCCTCCCATCCCCAAGACAGAGACAGACACAAAGACACACACACACACACACACACACACACACACACACACATCAGGCCATCACCCTCAATTGCTTCCATTGTTTGACATGGAAGAGAAAAAGTGACACAATGTCAGAGCGGGAATGCAGAGTCCAGACCTGGGGGGAGCACACACTGAGACTGGGGCGGGGGTAGCACCACACACTGAGACCGGGGGGAGCACACACTGAGACCAGGCAAGCCCAACGAGTCTGAAATACCACAGGCTGGATCGGGGAGGCAGAAGCTTAAAGCGCTCTTACGTTATCCTGCTAGAATCAAGAACATGCACATTTAGCTGAGCACTGAGGGTGGGGACACACCACGGTGGTCAGGGACTACTACTGGATTCTAGTTAAGAATATTGAAATATATTTCTATTCTGTCTTCCAGGAAAGACACAGATAGAAGGTCTTAAAAGATGTCAAATAAAACGCTTGAAGGAAACCAGGAAATGGAGTGAAGAATGACTATGCCTTGGAATCTCAGCAGATAGGAGATGGCCACAAGTCTGAGGCCAGCCTTGGCTACGTAGTGTATTCCAGGTATGCCTGGACTGCAGAATGAAATCCTGTCTCAAAATTAAAATCAAGTTTAAAAAAATGTATAGACCTATAGCTGCACTGCGGCCTCTTCCGTCAGGGTACGTTAGGTCTTCCTGGCTGCCCAGTGTGTGGACTTGAAGTCTTCATCTAAAGCGTAATTTATGAAGTGAAAACATTTGCCAGAAAAGAGAGGCCGTGTTCATTAGATCAATAAGTTTTAAAAACCACTAATGTAAGGAAAACCAATATTGTCAATACTCATTTTACTAAGAATCAGAAGCCAATTTCAGTGCTTTTCTCCTCATGCTTGTAAGACTGGTAAATATAAGATCATAGCATGAACACAGAATTCAGCAAAGATGATGTTCACGGGCTAAGCACAATCCATGTGTACGGCCTTCTGACTGTCCAACTCAGAGTCCTCAGTGGAGGCAGCTTGGCACCACTCCAGCCTAAAGCCCTTAGCAGTGTGTGGAGGTGTTATGGTTATCACATGTGTAATAAGGGGGTGCTGTTGGCATCTAGGTAGAGACCAAGGGTGCTGCCCCACGTCTTACATCTCACAGTGCACACAGGAAGGCCTCACCCTGACAAGGATTTGGCCAGCATCAAATATCATCGTGCTGAGCTTGGGGAGCCTGGGGAACTTGAATCAAAGAGAGAACTTAAGAAACTAAGAATGCTAGCTCTCCCTTCCCCCACTTCTCTCTGCTGGGTGACAGAGCAGTGTCCAGAAAGGAGATCTGACTCTATGCAGGGCAGGTCTGCAGACTTGGAAATCAGAAAACTGGAGCAGGGGGAGCTTCGGTTACGGGACATACATAAGGAGCCTGTCCAGGGCACCTCAACATGCACCAAGGGGTGCCTGCAGTTAAGTTCCCCAAGGTCAGCTTTAAAATATTCCCAGGTCAGTGCTACCTGCTTCCCAAACAAGCTCAGAGCATGCCTGCACAGGGCTGGGTCTAGACAGTGTGGCTGTCTGCACTTCCTGCTAGACTGAGTGAGCTACAATGTGTGCCTTACATAACTGCACACACTGGCTTGCTGCACACTTGTGTCATACTAACAGCACAAATGTTGGAAGGGGACCAAAGAGGATTTTAGCCCTTTCTGAGTCATCAAGTCATTGAAATTGAGTTCTTACATACCAGGGGAAAACAGAATTAATCTGAAGTCAAGGATCTGACAGACTTCACAAGCTATCATGTGGAAAACTACCATGGGCAGAGGAAGGGGGACAGAAAAGACTTCAAGATGGAGAAGCACTTGGGCTGGCTCAGTGAGAAGAGTGGGTGACCACATTCCTTAAATTGATACTTCCCAGGCCTACTTTAAGATTTCTGATGCACACAGGGGTGGGCAAGTGGCACTAAGTTAGGAAGTTCACGAAGATGCCTGAATAAGATGCACACACCCCACCCTCTTAACGTCCACTCAGTGTTACAGTCAAGATGAGGAATTAGTAGGGTGACTACAAATAATAACTGCACTCATTCAAAAAGCAAGAGGAAAAAGTTCTGAATGGTCTGAATTATACATGCCAATAAACATGCACAAGTACTAAGTGTCAATCAAAACCAAAACGTAAAAACTTTATCAGGCTGGATTTGAGACTTATAATAAAGGAATTCTATAGATGAGTGTGTTTAAACAGCAAATGTTAAGGGAGGGGGGGTTGATCCAGATGTGGCGGCACACATCTGTGATCCCAGAACTTTGGAGGTGGAGGCAGGATGGGGTCATTCTCAGCTCTGTAGGATGTTTGAGACCAGCCTAGCCTACACAAAAATGAAAACACAGGCTTTGTTCAATGGAAGAATGAACACGTTTTTTAGAATGGTGAAGGAAGCAGTGAATAGGAAAATATGGCAAAAGGAAGCTTAGCGCTCCAAGCTGTCCCAGTCTCCTGACTGCAGCTTTCGTAGCTCACGCCCTCCGTCCCCGGTGGTCTTTTTCTCCCATGCACTGCAGACTGAACCAGCCATACCATCACCATTGACCTAGGTGCTTAATAACTGCTGTACCACAATCCGTGTGTTGCCAATATTTGGAGCAATTGAACATCACTGAGAAGTTGTGGAGGACAAGTCACTATCACTGATTTGAGACTGCTCTCCCCGGAGACCCTGTGTGGAGCCGCCATCTATCAGTGCACGGGAGCACCTGTTATAGAGCAGCTAAAGATGCGCCCGCTTGTAGCACCCTCTAGTGACGGCTGAGTCTCCCCACCTGAGCCTGCAATTCTGAGTAATAAACACCAAGAGGCAACAGGCTGTAGGCACGTGAGGGCTTATGACTGATAACCCCACTAAAGACCAAATAAAATAAAGACATACATGCAAAATCCAGTTGGTTGTGCTTTTCTTGAGAAATTAACTTGTTACCAACATTTATAAGGTAACCACGGAGTCAAATTCCTTTTGAAGCAAATCAAGTTGAGTATTCTTTCTCTAATCTTCATCTTTACTTATCAGTTTCTACCTAACAAGTCCTGGGTTATACAGTCATGACTTTTTGGCTCAGAAAGTTCTGGGGCTGTGCTGGGGCTGGGCAATATTCCTTGTAGGCTCAAGTCAAGGAGGATAAGTTATTTGGTTCTGACTAGTTTCTAACCAAAAGCCTATGAATTTAACATTTTAATTTACAGTAGGGTACTTGATGAAGTCATATATTTGGCATCTACAAAGCACCCATAATAAATCAATAAAGATCAGTTAGCCAGCTTTTCACCTATATGGCACTCTGGGAAAGGCAAAACCATGGTCATGATAAAAAGATCAGAAGTGGCTGGGTGGGGAGAGATGAACAGGTGGCGATCGCTGCTCAAGGCAGTGAGACAACTTTGTGTGGTGTTGCAACAGTAGACATCTGCATCTGTCCAAACCCACAGACCATGTAACACAAGTGAGTCACGGTGTCAACTCTGGACTTTGGGTAACAACAGTGCACCTGTGTATGGGGGAGTTCATCAGCCATAGCAATTACACCACTCTGGCAGGGGATGCTAACAACAGAGGAGACTGTGCCTGTGCAGGGGTCTCTGAGAAATCTCAGTGCCCTCTCAGTTTTGCTACGAACCTAAAACTTCTCTAATAACATTTAAAAATGAATAAACAGACCTTGAAGTCTGGCTCACTGGTAAAGCACTTGTCCAGCATTTGTGAAGCCCTGAGTTGGATCCCAGCACCACAAAAATAATTAAGAGTAAAAAGAAAAAGTATGAGTTCAATGAATAAACAAATATTAATTGTAAGACATTCTGCTCCTGACGCTGTTCTAAGGACTTTAAACACATTGACCCATCACTCTTCCTCACAGCACTGCAAGGTCGTTACTATTATTACCATCTCCATTTTAAAGATGAAGAAATTAAGGCACAGAGAGATTAAGTGACTTGTCAAGAGCAGCACAGAAAGTGAGACCCCAAGATGCCTGTCCAAGCACCCCACTTCAGACTGCTCAGTCTTCCCTTCAGCCCAATTCCCCTCACCAGGAATCTAATCCTGAGGTTTAGTGTCACCAATGTCCTATCTAATGTACACCTCACACTTGTTCTTTAAGCCAGGGAAAGAGATGTTATATTTTCTCCTGGTGATGTCATTTATCTGTAGGCAGGTTATACAATCCATGATTTTGGTAGAACAAGGGACTATTACTGGTGATTTTCAGCAAGACTCCACAGAGCCCTAGAAGATTCTGCCTTGGGGCCTGATTTTCGGAAATGTGTCATACTTAGTGAGAAATAGTGGCACACTGATTCTAAACATCCCCTCACGCCATCATCATGGAAAACCTTGTATTCTATCCTTTCCATTGGAAAATTACTGGGTCTGGAAATCTGTTAGGGTTATGGAGCTGCTTTCTAGTTCCTCCCTAGCTCCTGCCCCTAAATGGTCAATGATAAGACAGCAAGCATCGGCCCAACTCTGTTCCTCAGGCTCAGAACATGTGAAGCAGTGTGTCACTTCATGAAACAAGAGTGAGTTTGGAGACAACCCTGAGGTGATCAGGAAACAGACCTCAGCAGACTATGCACTCCTGATTGGACTGTCTTCAGAAAGCCACGTCAGATACCTCTCTGGTTTTTCAACTCATTGGGACCATTCCTGGTACCTGAGTCACAGCCAATAACAGTTAGGGGCTGACCAAACAGTGAAAGGACATGCGATCATACATTAATGTATCTTCTCTGAGCCACTGTTTTACTAAGCAATGACTGTTGGGCAGGTGACTTCTTAGACTTTCAAAACACCACAGTCTTCGGGTGAGCCCCACAAACACAAAGGTAAGTAAAACCACTTTTCGGAATTGTCCTGTTTCAAGAGGAAGCCTGTAGGCTGTGATATAGGTTCCAGGACTTTGGCGATCTTAGAAGACAGATAAGGGAACACATAACCATCTTCCCTGATCCCCCAGCTCTGAGCTCAGGATCACTGGTGGACCCTAACAGTAGACCCTAATGGGCCCTAGCTTGTTAAGACCAACCACCACCTACCAGAAGGCCACGAGAAGCCCAAAGGGCTGTCCTTGACAGGTCAACAGCCCCAGATCAAAGTGGAACCCTCACCTTCTCATCACACACTTCCTATCACTGATCCCTTCAGTGCGCGCTCTCTCTCCCCCCCGACCTCTTTCTCTCTCTTGCTCTCTCTTTCTCACCCCAGTTCTGCAGAAGTGGCAACAGAGTTCTAGTCCAAATTAACTTGAATGCTAATTCCCCCCAAATGACATATTGGGCCAACCAGAAATAACCTTTGGCCATGGTTTCCATAGCAATGGTCTTGAAAGTCTTCCTAGCAACTCTGATGAATCTAACTGCATTTAAATCACCTAGGAAGCTGGTGATTCCTAGGTGATTTACTACACCTTCTGAGGTCCCACCCAGGTCTACCAGGCTTTGGGTCGAGGATGAGGGCTGGGAATTCCTACTCTATCTCCCAGGTGACCATGTTGTTACACGGATGGGGCACAGAGCAGGGGAGGGAGGTAGAGAGACAAGTGAGGGTGTGGCCTGAGTCAAGACCAGGCTAAGAATACAGGTTTAGCCACAGGGCCCTCTTCTGTCCCAAATGGCAACGGTACCCCAACCAACAAGAGTAAGGGCTTAGCTTTTTAGACGGTCACTCTAATGATGTCCTTCTAATAACGTCATTCTAACGATATCATCAGCCTGCCATTATAATGGTAACAGTTTTCACTATCATTTCCTGTGATTCTCCAGTTAATGCTTTTCCTTACGCTGGTCTGGAAAACCCAGATCCCTGCCCAGGCCCTAACTATTCTCTGCCAGTTGAAGTTTTTGCTTCCTTTCAAGAACAGTTCAAATTCTTTCTTCCTCATGCTCTTAGGCAAGACTAGTGTCTCCTGGTGGATGACTGTTTGAAAGCTATTCATTCTGCCACAGAGCATGATTATCTATACACGGTGTCACCTCCAAGCACTGTGAGTGTGAAGGGATGACTAGATGATGTGCACCTATCTATTGGAACTGGGAATGTGGCAAGTGGGCAGCCCAGGCGGAGATCCTTCCTTTTGACCAGTCCTGGGACCCAGGCTGCTGCTCCAGAATCATTTCTGAGTTGCTGAGTGATGGCAGTAGTGATGGATAGATGTGAGAGGCAGGCAGCTCAGAGGCATGGCAGGAGCAGACCAAGGCAGTGGAGAAGACCAGGCAGAGTAGGAGCCTGTCCTTCTCCCTTGTCTATACTGGAGACCAGACGATGAACATTCCAGGCCATCAGCCTCCTGTCCTTCCCTTCCCAGCTCTCACGTGCCCACTTACTTCCTCAGCCAGCACAGAGCCAGCGCTGTGCTCTTCCGCTTTGGGCCACCTACCTGAGCTCCAGACAGCCTAGCTGCAGAGCCATGCCTTCACTGACCTTGCTGGCATAGCGTTGCATGTAGTCATTCCGGAGCTGGTGGAAGAAAGGTCAAGGGTCAGACTCATGCCCTCATTGCCTTTTCCTGAGCACAGGCCCCAGGAGGGAAACATACCAGTGCCTCCTGGACTCCCTCTCACGTGTGCCTTACTGTGGACAAATCTCCAGCTTCCTCTCTCCCATGCTCAATTTTGGAGAAAAGAAAACTGAAGGCAGGCCCGGTGGGTCAGGCCTGTAATCTCAGCTACTCTGGAAGCTGAAGCAGGGAGGATTGCAAGTTCAAGGTCTCCCTGGGCTATGTGAGTTCAAGACCAGTTTGAAAAACTTAATGAGACACTGCCTCAAAATAAAAAGAAGGCTGGGATTTAGTTTTGTGGAAGAGCACACCTAACATCTATGAATTCCCTCCCTAGTACTTCGAGGAAAGGAAGGAAGGAAGGAAGGAAGGAAGGAAGGAAGGAAGGAAGGAAGGAAGGAAGGAAGGAAGGAAGGAAGGAAGGGAGGGAAGGAAAGAGGGAGGGAGGGAGATGGGGAGGAAGAGAGGGAGGGAGGGAGGGAAAGGAAGAAAGAAAAAGAAATAAAGAAGGAAAGAAGGAAGGAAAGAAAGAAAGAAAGAAAGGAAAAGGTTGATTTGAGGAGAGTTAGTTATCTATACAAGGCTCTGCTGATACCAAATAGATGTCACTGAGCACAAGGAACATCTGGCTCATTACCTAGCAAACCAGGAGGTGGGTACAGGAGGGAGCTGAGACCAAGAAGAAACTGATGGTGGCTGTTTCATTGCCCCTGCTTTGGTGCTCACTCTGCAGGTGCTGTGCTGGGTACTTGTTTAGTCCAGTGGCATGTGAGAAAGGCAGACAGCTCAGGAGAACGCACTACACACTTTCAGAAATTTATGTTAACTGATGGATACCACACTGGTAGCTTGAAAGAGGTTATGATGGGAGCATTTACACCATGGGAATTGGCACGGGCACAAATCAGGATCAGTTCTTCCTTTAGCCAATTCACCAGTACGCGCCAATAATATCATTTGGTCCTTACAACAAGTTTATAAAGTATATCATCCCCATCTTACAGAAGAGGAAACAGTTTTACTCGGGTAAATGAGGTACCTGGAAATACCAGAATAGTTAGTGGCAGAACAGGACTGGAAACCAGGTATGTCAGACCCCAGTCTGTGAGCTAACCTGCTCTTTCTGGGTCACTAGCCAGGTTTCCTGGGCCACAGAGAAGCTCAAGAGGAGCTGGGAGCATCTGAAACAGCCTCAGAAGGAACTTTCTAGAAGCCTAGACTTCATTCATCTCCCCAAAGAGAATGGATGAGATTGACATTTAAAGTGCAGTAAGACACCAAAGGTGCTTCTCACCTGTTGGTAAAAATAAAGCAGCGTGGTCCTGTCTTCTTTCAGGCTCTCCATGAAGTCTTCAGGCAAGTAGCGGATTTGAAGGTCATACCTGCAACAAGACAGATTCTGGTTGATGATGGGAAACTGAATCTCCAGGAAGCAATCCCCATGGAGCCAAGCCACTCTACCCTTCGTGAGGCATGCCATGGCTGTCCATGAGGCTCCTGGCCACACATCCAGACCAGTTTCTTCTTTCCTTGCTTTGTACTGAGTGGAGGACCGTGCCAGACAGGTGCCCAGCAGGCACTGCTAGTCACAGCCAGCCCTGATTCTCTGTCTCCTCTCCCTCACGGACATTGTTTCCCTTAGTTCCCCAGACCAATCTTTGACCTGGGCTCTCCTTTCTTTCCTACCCTTTTCTCCCTTTCACCATGGCAATGAGCATCCAGTCTGCAGCTGTTCCTAGATACTGGCCTGGGATGGGGATTTGTTGCAAACCCAAGCTAGGTCTTAAAAAAATACTTGCACTGGACACTGTGGGAGGTCTAAGTTTAGACTGTCACTTAGATTTCTCTAGAAGCTCTGGGCTGGGGAATGCTCTAAGAAGGGGTACTATTCCTACCTCCATTCAGCCTCCACGTGTAGACACTCATATTTGTCCTGAACCTCGCCCACCGTCATCTGGGGATGCAGCCAGTGGATCTCATCTGACTTCATGTGCTTTAACCTCAGCCCATAGCACTCGGCCAGCTGGATGTTCGGCCCGATTCGCCCACTCAGCAGGATGGAGGTGATGATCTCCTAGGGGAGGAGAGGACCAAGACTCAGGGGTGTGCCTGCTGGGCTTTCCACAGACTCCATACACATCCCTCAACCCTGTGTGGGATTTGGTCTTAAGATTTTGTTTCTGATTCTCCAGTGTTCAGCACAAGACTTGGTACACAGTGTGTTCTATCGATGAATGAACAATTTGGCAAAATGAGACAGACACGGGGGAAGTGGGAGGAGGCAGCAGAAGTGAGGAAAGAGGCAGAGACAGAGAGCACAGATCAAACCAGTTAACACTGACTGAGCACCTGCCCTATGAAAAGCCCCCCTCTGAACGGTTTCCAATCCAGCCAGCAGGACTGAGTACCAGACCAGGCACCGCTAGGTCCTCAATACACATAACTGATAGGGAAGCAAGCAGGTGTCACCACCCTCGTAGAGCTGGTGAAGAAACCAACTCAGGGAAATAAGCTGGGATTGTGAGCTCTGGTTTGCGAGACTCAGGCACTATTCTAGGTCAAGCTGATTTAGGGCACAGTAAAGCCAGAGAGAACAGAAGGACAAAACCCTCATCAAGGGGCTGGGTGGCACAGTTCCACACAAAAAGCATGTTCTCAGGAAAGGAAGACTGATAAGACGCCCACCTTCTCGCTCTGGGTTCAGTGTTTGGTTTGGTTTTGGTTTTTTGTTGTGTTTCTGTCTTTAAGCATGCCACCTGCCCACAGCCTGCCTGATGCCACCACTTCCTGGCTCAGCCTCAGAGCCGGATTAACAGGAAGGCCAATTGTATGCTGCCTGGATGCCCATCAGTAAGACCCTGACTAGCTCCACAATCGCCCTGATGCCAGATTAGCTCATATTTCAATGAGTGAGCTGAGCCCACTCCTGACAGCACAGAGCTCTGTTAGGATATAGATTTAAAACCTCATAGTCACTGACACATCTGAGCCCAGAGTCTGCAGGCTAATGGAGGCTAATGCCACAAGAGAGGCTGACGTCCAGCCAGGGAAGAGGAGAGATGCTTCATTATTTAGATTGTTTTTTTTTTAAGCATGCCTCCCAAGAAGTTGTCTAATTTAGTAAGTGAAGTGCAATTAATTCCTTAATTGGAATTAGAATGCAGAGTGCTTCTTCTCCCCACTGGGAAAATATCAAGACTAATATTTAGGTAATGTTGGGTTGAAGGAATGCCGATTATGCATCAGCCTGGGCACTCGTGTATCTTGGTCCAGCAGCCCTCCTGCCAGGCATTTTCACTCCACAGAGCGAGAACCAGAAGATCCTCCACTATTAAAACTGCCTTTTCCACTAGGAAGGAAAACGCCCATCAGAGAAGCTGCCTACTCCTCCGTGAGATGCATGTGGGGAATGTGGCACAGAAGGCATCTTGGCGATCTAACAGATGAGCCGCCAGTCAGAAGTGAGGCTGGAAATGGGGATGTGAGCTGTGGTGCCCCTGGGGAGAGGGGTACGGAGAAGAACATTAGGTCCAAGTTGTGAAGCAGACAACTTTGTCACTGGAGACTCACATTTTGCTACTGACCTGCCAGGCTCTGTTCACTTGGTAATCCAGATATTTTACCCAGAATTCCTCATGCCCCAGTGATTCCCACCTGCAGTCCCCACCTCTGGTATTTAAATGTAGACATTTTCCCCTTCCCACACTGGAATCTAGAATGAGCGAGAAGCTCTTTCCCTCAGGAATAGAACCCCTATGTGGAACTGAAAACTCTAAAACACACACAAAGTAAGTTCCAGAGTGTAAGGACCCTCCGTGCACAGTGGCCACCTTTGGCAGTCATTGGCATGCTGTCAATCTGACCACATCTACGCCTCCCCCTCCTCCCTAACCACGACCCACTGCTATTTTTTCACCATCCTTCTTTTAAGAATATATGTATATAAGGGCTGGAGAGATGGCTCAGAGGTTAAGAACACTGCTTGTTCTTGCAGAAGACCCGGGTTTGAAGCCTAGCACCCACATGGCAGCTAACAACTGTCTATAACTCTAGTCCCAGGGGATCTGACAGCCTCTTCTGACCTCCGTGGGCATTGCATGACATGGGTGCACTTACCTACATGCAGGTAATACATGCATATACGTAAAATAAAAATAATGAATAAAAAAAATTTTTAAAGTTTTTTTTAAGCCACGTGTGGTGGTGCACGCCTTCAATCTCAGCGCTTGGGAGGCAGAGGCAGGCGGATCTTTGTGAGTTCAAGGCCAGCCTGGTCTACATAGTGAGTTCCAGGACAGCTGGCGCTATAGGGAGGCTGTCTCAAAAAGAACAAAAAAAAAAGTTTGTTTTTTTTTTTAAAAAAAGAATATATGTATATAAAATACATGCACATTAAAATGCACAAATCTTAACTGTAGTTTTTAAAATTATTTATTTTTATTTTAGGTGTATGGGTATTTTGCCTGCATGCAAATGTACCTCATGTATGCAATGCCCATGGAGCCCAAAAGAGGGTGTTGGATCTGCTGGAACTGGGGTTACAAATGGTTGTTAGCTGCCATGTGGGAGCTGGGAACCAAACCCAGGTTCTTGGCAAGAGCAACTAGTGTTCTTCAGTGCTGAGCCATCTCTCCAGCCTCTTAGCTGTATGATTTTGACACATAAATACACCCATGTAACCCACATACCAATTAAGATACAGCACTCTTTAAATCTCTAGAAAGTTCCCTGTATCAGTCGATCCTTGTGACCAACTCCCACTCCAAGCACCCATGCCCTGTTCTAGTTTCAGTGCGTTTTGCCCGTTCTACAATTTTGTACGAATGGAAAGCATGAAACCTGTTTTGGACAGTTTTTTTCACTCAGCACAATGTTTAACATTTACTCACACTCTTTCACATACTGGTACTTAATTTCTTTAAAATTTTTTTTTAATTTGCTTTTTTGAGCTAAGGTCTCATTATATAGCCCAGGCTTGTCTTAAACTTGCAATCTTCTGTATCGACCTCCTTGGGGCTGGACCTACAGGTATGGACCACTACATCCTGGCAGTGTTTCTTTCTCTTTTATTTTTTGGCCATGCTGGGAATTGAACCCAGAGTCTTGTATATGGTAGGCAAGTGCTTTACCACCGAGCCACATTCCCAGGCATCATTGTTTCTTTATGTGGATGGATGATACTCTAGTGCATAAACAAACTACACTATGTTCACTTGGTCTCCTACTCCTGGAAACCTTGGCTACTTCTGAGTATTATAAAATACTGAAAATTAATATAAAGCATTTCTGCATATAAAAAATACAATGGTATTTGCTTTTAGTTAGTCCTAAAGAATAGAATTACTGGCTCAGGGTGTCTTTAACTTTATTAGAAACTGCCAGGGCTAGAGAGATGGCTTAGTGGTTAAAAGTGTGTGCTGGTCTTGCAGAGGCCCAGTGTTAGGTTCCCAGCACCCATGCTGGGCAGCTCACAATTGACTATAAATCCAGATCCAGGGGATTCAGTGCCCTATTCTGGCCTCCAGAGGTGCTGCACGCATGCACGCGCGCGTGCACACGCACACACACACACACACACACACACACAAATTAAAAATAAAAAAAAACTTTCTTTTTAAAAGCTGCCAAGATCATTCCATTTTATATTTCTAGTATGACATGGATAGCTTGCTATAACACATCTCTGTTGACATTTGATGCTATTTTTTTAACAACCATTTTAGTAGGAGTGGTATGTGTGCATACACAAGTATATATGTAGATGCACATATATGCATATATGGAATCTCACTTGCTGTTAATTTGCATCTCCCTGAGGAAGAATGACATTTTCATGTGCCTCTTACACTTCATGTGCCTTGTTTGTTCAAATCTTTTGCCCATTTTAAAAAATTCTTTGCTCTCTGCATATTCCGCCCAGGTCTGTGGGCTTGTATTAATTTTCAGACAAGCATCTTTGGGTAGAGGTTTATTTACCAGAATTTTGTCTCATAGCCAATGCTTCCTGCACCCCAAGGCCCTACCCATCCCCAGGTCATGCAAATAATAAGCTTTGGGGTTTAAACTTTACTTTAGGTTTGTAATCCATCATGAATTAATGTTTCTGTATGGTGTAAGATAGGGATATAATTCAATTTTTTCATATAGATTTATAGTTGTTCAGTATTATTTACTGGCTTTTCTTTCCTAAATGAATTATTTCTCCATCTTTGTTAAAAATTTGTGGCCATGGGGCAGAAGAGATGCTCAGTGGTTCAGAGCATTGGCTGCTCTTGCAGAGGACCCAGGTTTGATTCCCAGCACCCACATGGAGGCTAACAACCATCAGTAACTCCAGCTCCAAGGGATCTTCTTCTGTCCTCCTCGGGGACTGCATGACATGGGTGCACTTACACACATTCAGGCAATACACTCATACACATAAAATAAAAATAATAAATAAGATATTTAAAAAATTGTGGCCACCTAAGTTTAGGTTTACTTCTAACTTCTCACTTTTGTTCATACTATGCCAATATCATATCTTTGCATTACTATAGCTTCAGATGAGATCTCGGCATTGAGTAGACTAAGTCTTCTTCCATTTCATCTCAAGACTGTTGAGCTGCTTAAGGACTTTGCATGTTCACACAAATTTTACAATTGGCTTTGCACTTTCTATTTTAACAGTCTGCAACATGATGGTGGAGAGTGTGTTCAATCTATAGCTTACTGGGGAGACTCGACATCTTGACAGCATTGCACCTTTCAACCCTTAAACATGGTATATCTCTCTGTTCAGTTCTTCTTTAGTTATTTTTAGTTATGTCTTATAGTTTTCACTGTGTAGGTGTTAGTCCTAAGCCATTTGTATATTTTGATGCTTTTGTAAATTGGGATTTTTTAAAAACAGTTTATATATTATTTTTATGTGTATGAATGTATTGCCTGCACGTACGAGTGCACCTGTGTCACGCAATGCTGCAGAGGTCAGAATAGGGCTTCAGATTCCCCTGGAACTGGAGTTAAAGATGGTTCATAGCCACCATGTGCTGGGTGCTGGGAATCGAACCCGGGTCTTCTGCAAGAGCAGTC